AAAAAACGAATATATTGGGAGGTTTTCAACATCTCAACGGCTTGATGTCATCCGTTTCAAGGGATAACTGAATGCAACAAGTGCGAAAACACCAAATCAGCAAACAAACCTTCACAACAGCACATTCACTGCAATACATGAGATACAGGTGAGTAGGCTTATCAGCGCTTCTTGACATTGATGATGCTGATGGTGACATTAAGTGATCATAGTAAATGCTCTTCAAGGGAATTTGAATTGTGCCTAAGTGACTCGCAGCCGGGCGATTGAACGCATTCCATTTACATGGGATTACTTGCACGGGCAGCTGAAAATGCTCGTCGGAAACTAAACAATTAAATTCTTTTCTGCGGAACCATAGAAGGAGCAAAGGTATTTTAAAGTTCGAGTGGTTCGAGTTTATATGGTAATTGCTTGACGTGAATCAGAATTTTCGACGTTCAAAGTCGAGGATAAACTTATGGAAGTAGAATCAAGTGTACGATGTCATTGATATGTTTTTGGAAGCAGCAGTGATTATTCAAAATCAAAACATTGTAAATGTGAAAGTGAATCACATGGCACACCACCATGCGAATGAAATGCTCATTCGGTAAATTCGATTGACTGTTTGGCTTAAGCTTAAGTTCTTGAAGTGTCATCAAAAGAGAACATTCAATGAGAACCGAACGTCTTGCTCTTAATGATGAATACTTGAGATTTTGTTTTGATTGTGCCCAAAAAACTTCTAAAGTCTGAAGCATTCACGTTCAGCTGATGATTTGTATTTGAGGATATAACTTACTGGATGGGAATGTGCGCCGCAATAGCGACCAACAAACAAGGATCTCTCGTTTGCGTCTGTAGAAGCAGCAGCATCAGCACGCTGATTCCTAACAGTGCCATTTTCAGGCTCGTTTCTGGGAATATCTTGGTAAGTGCTCGGTGCATCATTCAATGTTCCAGCAGCTTTGACAACAGTGCTATGAGTTGGAGTTGTTTTTGTCCTGACCATGATTTGTTTTCACTCCATCAATGTTTTGTCTTGTTGCACTGGGACAGCTTTTCACTTCTGAATTTTTTTAATGTTTTATTTCATAGTGTATCTCCGCAATAACAATAACAATTCGTGAAAACAACATTAAAAAACGAACAACGCGTCCAAAACCGCAAACTTGCGACAGAACAAATTAAATCAAATTAGAAACAGTAAAAAGTGATGATTCAAACACTGAGCGAGTATAAGAAAACAAATCCAAATTAATCATCCAGAAAAACGACCAAATTTCACAAAAACACCTTCAGAGCGACTGCTTGTACACAGTGCAGACAAATGAGAAATTCGGAAAATATATTCTCGCTGCTTCGAAAAAATTTGAGCCTTTGAAGGAAAATTTTGGATTTCTAAATTTGAGATCGAAATCAATTCCTGATTAAACAAA